GGCCCTTCTAATGACTGATCACCGTTCGCGGGTAGTTTCTTTCTTCTGTAAGCAGCCCATACCGCTTCCTCGCAATATTAGTGTGCAGGGGGCGTGGCAGATTTATCCCAGAATGTAATGTAATATCATTTATTGTTGTTCAGAGGACAGTACTTTCTCAGGTTATAACTCTGTAGAAAACCCGTAAGAAAGCTTTTTCTCGTGAAATACCGTTCTGGACAATCGTAGGGCAGCTCTTACGTATGTCGCTCTGTAGGCGGTACGCGGAGCAGGGTTTATTCAAAAAAGTGGTCTGTAAGCGACACGCAGGGCATGAGAACAATGCTTGTTTTTGCTGCCGAAATTTTTCGGACACTAAAGTATGTTTTCAGTTTAGCTGAGGTATTGTAGACTACATCGTTGTTCTGAGAATCGACTGCTTGGTGACTCTCAGTGAAGGTTGGTGGAAAAATTTGGCCCAAAGAAAATTTTTAGAAGGGACTCAAAAGATATCGACTATCAACAATGAGATTCTTATATTTAGAGGAGAGTCAAAAGTCATTGATTAATCAGTTTCGTGTTGCCCACAACTGAAAGGTATAAAACGTAGGTGTAATTGTCTTGACAATCATACGGCTAAATTGTATTGCCCCAACCCACTTGCAAGCGGCCCTTAGGGTCGCTAGTTACTTGGAAAAACTTCAGAAAAGTTTCACACGGAAGCTGTTTATTCGCGCTTTGGGTTTTGCGTACGATTACTTATTCTTAACTAGCTGGCTTACCCGGCTCCGCCGTATGTTCCGAATAGAAAATTCCATTTCTCAACCGATCCGGACCAAACTTGGCACACATACACTTCGGGCCTCGGCGGGTGTCACAGTCCACTTTTTGTTATCGATCGATGTCGATGTTATCGATTTTTTGCAAAACTTGAGCTAGGGGGCTGGAATTTGGCAGAGGGGTGTAATCGAGCATGCTGATCACCCCCACGGGGGTGATCAGCATGCTCGATTACCCCCCTGTGCCAACTCCCAGCCCCGTAGCTCAAATTTTGCAAAAAATCGATAAAATTGATACCGATCGATGACGAAACGTAGCCTATAACACCCGCCGGGGCCCGAAGTGTATGTGTGCCAAGTTTGGTCCCGATCGGTTCAGAAATGGAATTTTCCATTCGGAACATACGTACATACAGACATACAGACAGACAGACAGATAGACAGACAGACAGATAGACAGACAGACAGACAAACAGACATTCAGCTTTATATATAAGATAGCGAGATTCGAGACAGGAAATTGGGTTTGACATCACTTGCGTATAGAAGACGTAAAAATGACCTCGTAATGGCCCATAAAATCTTTGGAAATTGCGGCTTGGAGTTTTCAGAGTTTTTTCCAACTAGACCATCCAATACCAGAGGTGGTCCCAGAGAACTTATTATCTCCAGGGCAAGGCTAATGGTCAGGCGAAATTTCTTTACATGTCGCATTATTCACTATATGGATTCGCTCTGAAGGGCATTTCCTGCTAAGCTTTCTGTATTCAAAAACATTTTGAAGGATTATCTGCAGTCCGATAGCTGATGTTGTTACTAACACGGTTCGATGTTGTTAGTCAAGGTATATCACTTCACTTGATATTGTTTTTTTTACTGTTTTTGTTGGTTACCTGACATGGGTCCCCCCCCCCCCCATGTAATAAATGATTGAAATGAATGAATGAAAGCAGATAAGTCTGGCCCTGCCTTAGGCCTGAGGCATACCTCGCGCGATTCCGGTCGCTGCGCGATTCGGCACAACAGCGACTCTTCGTAATTCGTCATTAATGCGCTGTCTTTGGTCAGAACTTGCTCCTTTTGCAGCAACTTGCACAAGCTACCCAAATATGCGTCCGAGAAGAGCGCACGATGAAATTGTAGACATCTGGCAAATCGCCAAGTCGGTGAAAGCGGCGATTCGGCCAAATCGCGTGAGGTATGCCTTAGGCCTTAGTGACATCGGACGTGCGCGACGCAATGGCCGTACGCGCGTCCGACTCTCGTGATCCTGCAGGCTATACTTGGGACTAAAAACTATACTACGAATCGAATAATTATTCGATCATTCGAATAAATCATTCGAATGGTCGAAAATTTGAGATTTCGAATAAAATTCGAAAGTCGAATATTCGTAATTTTTAGTTTTCGAATATATTCGATAGTCGAATATTCGAAAATCTTTATTTTCGAATATTATTCGAAAGTCGGATATTCGGAAATCTTAAATTTCGAGGATTATTCGATAGTCGAATATTCGAGGGTCATTCATTCGATCATTCGATGTCCATCAAATATTCGAATATTCGTCGAGCACCGAATATTCGGAAATTCGATAAGAATTGACTATTCGAAAATTCGATAAGCACCGAATATTCGAGAATTCGATACGCATAGCGTATACGGGATGTCTTGAATGTATCTACACACTGTTTGATCGCTAATACCTCTCAAGGTCTTTTGCCAATTTCTGGGTAACATCTAGTAGGGATGGCTTCAGCTTGTAAATAGAGCAGAAAGTGAATCACCCATGTTTTTCTTATTGTGTAATATCACAGTAGGAAATTCCAGCTTATAGACCAACTGCAAAATAAGACATCCAAAAAATTGTCCCCAAAAAAGGTCTAAAATCTGTGCAGCAGTGTTTTTGTATGCTGATCTTACTACGCACGAGTTTCCAAGCTTTTCAAATGGCAATCACATTTTTGAAAAAGCGTTGCAAAACAGTTGTTACGGTGTATCGTTTGTTCCCCAGCAAATTTCCCATACGTACCACGTCATGTCGCTGCCTTTCGCTATTTTGAACGTGCTAACCTCGGGCAGTTCCATTGAAATCTCAGGATAAACGTGTCAAAAAGAGCAAAAGGCAGCGTCGCACCACGTACGCACGCTGGCTCATATGGGAACTTTTCTGGGGGACACAGGATACCTGGCGTAAGTTTTGAAAAAAAAAACATTGAGCGGTTGAGTGCAAATTCTACATAAAGGAGTGTCTTTAGAAATCTAAAGCAAGACTTTCAGCCCTTTTGATTCTTTTTCTTGGGGAAATGGCTCTTGATGTTTTGAGGCCTGCTTCAGTCTTACGGTAATTTTACAACAGTGAAAAGCGATTAATAAATCGCCCCATACTCTACATTGACGTCAGCCTACAGTTACATACTGTTGGGACCGCTGTATATCCAATCGCATACGAAAAATCTCTTCACAACCGTCACAGGAGCAGCTTTCAATTTTCTAAGTCTCTTCACGTCATGACTAAGCCGTTTTTCCATCGTAAATTGTACCATAAGAATGTGTCCATTCTTAGCACTTCATGAAACAATTTGTTCTTAGTGTTTTGGCCTTTCATAGGCAGTCTCAATGACGTAAATTATTCGGTCAGTATTTGAAAATCGAATGATATTCGAAAATCGAATAACACTCGAGAACCGAATAATATTCGAAATTCGAATATTATTCGATTCGAAATTTTCATTTTCGAATGATATTCGATAGTCGAATATTCGAATTTTCCAATTTTCGAATAATATTCGAAAGTCGAATAAAATTTCAGTTTTCGAATGATGTTCGATAGTCGAATATTCGAGAATTTCGATTTTCGAATATTATTCGATATTCGAATATTCGAAATTTTCACTTTTCGAATATATTCGATATTCGAATATTCGAAAAAAATTTCGAATCTCCCCAACTATACTGCAGGCCCCTATACCCCAATCTTACGCGGGCACTGCTCATGGCCAAAGGCATAGCTCGCGCGGTTTCATTCGCTGGGCGGTTCAGCATGCGAAGACTCTTCATCGTTGGGCGTAAGCGCTTTGCTAGGACAAGATCTGGTGCGTGACGATATACAAAAGCTACATGGCATGCATATAACCTTTAAAAGGCGCCAGAGTAAGGTAGGTGCCAGAGTGAGCGAATACTTTGTTCAAGTTGGGGTCCCGCGCAGAACTGGCATCACTAATCATTGTGGCATATAATGCCAACTTGGCGTTGTGCCACAATGATTAGTAACGCCAGTTCTGCGCGGGACCCCAACTTGAACAAAATATTCGCTTAGGCTGCGTTCATACTGATCTCGAAGTCCGGGAACAGTTCCAGCACAGCACTTGAAATGAGCGCTGTGCTGAAACTATTCCCGGATTTCGAAATCAGTCTGAACGCAGCCTTACTCTGGCACCTACCTAAGCGGATATTTTGTTCAGGTTGGGGTCCCGCGCAGAATTGACGTCACTGGGATTGACGCCAGCATTGTGAGTGACGTCCATTCTGCGCAACTCAACCTGAACCAAATACTCGCTTACTCTGGCACCTACCTTTGGCTCAACTGGGTTGGTGGCTGAAAGAGGGCCTTTGTGGCTCGATTAAGGCCGTTTGCGCCCGCGACGCAGTCTCTCTCTCTCTCTCGCTCTCGCACTCTGATCATCCTCTAGCCTTAGTTGGTCACGAAGCCCCTCCTCCCAGCCGCCAATTCAGTTGAATCATTGGGTAGGAGCTGCGCACGGTATAAGATCTGGCGGGACGCCAAGTCGCAATTCAGAATCGCTGAGGGTATGCCTTGGGCTTTCATGCAAGCTAGGTTTGCAGTGAAGCGTGTTTGTATGTGCAAGAATTTGCATCGTACCGCAACAGCAACTGTAGTACGTCGTGATAGGACCCAAGTGTCTGCGACTGCTGCGAAATGCAAGCGCTGTGCCCGGCCGGTGTGGTGCAAGCCTTCAGTGAAGCGGTTGGTGCCCTTCATATCCATGCTTCGGTTTGTTCCCGGTCGGAACAGACTGATCCATTGATCAAGGGCGCATGCGCTCGTGTCACGAGTTGATCGAATGGAAAAGAGTTTTTTGAATCGTAGATTTATCTGCATATTTCACTAGCTGCACTTGTCTTGCTCTATTATGCCTTCCATATTTGTGATGTTATTAGAGGAATTTTGTTTTTACTTTGTCTTTGCTTGAGCATGCTTTGATTTCAGTAGAGCAGATGAAGAGTTGCACTTTCAGGTATGCACTCCTCACGAACTCGTTTTTCTGTCCCTAATCCTCATCAGGTATGTTTCTTGTTGACTATTCTTCCTTCGACCAGTGACCTTTCCAGGCGTATAATTTCCGCCTTGATGAAATTGACGAAGAGAACGAGCCACATGTTAATGAAGACGCGGTGTCGCCTAGACGTGGTGAGCCTTTATAATTCTGTGTAAGCCATCTGTCACCAAACGTACCCTTCAGTAGCAGAAACACGTTGCCTTACGTTTTTACAGAAAATTGGCAGATGTTTTGGAGTTCCAGCGCACTAAACTATCTTAACATGTATGTCTTTCAAATTTTCATCACTTGTGGAACGAAAGCTGGTAATAGCAAAGCAATTCGAATACTACCCGCTGGGTATAGTGAGTTCTTGGACTCAAAGGCGGTGCCACGGCAAAATTCCATTTCCCAGTTTTTACCTTCTCGGAGCCTTTTCGCTATGAGGAATCTACATCGGGCTTTTCAGCGCTTGGACGAAAATGAGCTTTTTCCGAACCTCTCCAGGTCCACATTCCTGTGCAAAATGCGTGTAAATGGGCGGGGCCGGGAACGAGGGGCGGTGTGCTGAAGCTGTGCTTCCAGCGTATTTCCACTAAATGCAGAACTGGAAAGCTTCGAAAAGGCGCATTTTCACCGCTTTCTTGTGCTGAAAAGCCTAGATATGAGTTTCTCATGTCGAGAAGGCTCCGAATAGGGGACAAGCTGGAAAGCGAAATTCTGCTGGAACGCTGCCTTTGAAACGTTGAAGCTCCAGGAGGCTGCCTCTGCGCTGTCCGTTACCAAATTTACCGAATAACTATACTTTTAACAGGTTCGCGAGAGGAATATGCTGATAACGCGGCCAATACTAGAAGATCAGGCTCTGTGAGAAGTCCACCTTTTGATTCTGCAATTGCCGCAAGAAGCAGTATTTCGAAATACCCTGTTCTTGAGAGGAATCAATTACGCACACGTTGTAGGGACATCATGCAGGTTTGTTTCAATTTTTTGTGGCATTAGTCGTTTACTATTCTGTGCTTGCCAACGCAGGAAAAATCCTCCAAAATCTTCATCGACCGTTTGGAAAAGGAGGGATATTTGAGATGGAGCACTTTGAATAAACTCGAAAAACGTCTGGTTGACTACAATCCAGCGTTTTTTCAGTTGTCCATAGATCTTCCAGGTAAACACCGTTTGACTGTCATCCGCCAAATTGTCTGTCATGGACACTTATTTGAAGACTTTGTCGAACCACGGGTGAGCATGATCAGAACTCCGCACCCAGAGCAGGTAGACGTCACGGGAAGCAAAGGTGGTTTACGCGCTGCTATTGACGAAGATTTCGCATGGCTGCCAGACGCGACATTCACGTTCGATGCCCAGAAGTGCGGGTTTCGAGAGGTATGCCCTATAAAGATGATTTTAGCTGCGTTCAGTAACGCGGCATCTGCTTTGCATATAAGGCAGTCTATCACAAGAGCATTTATATCTAGGATGATTCCAGTCAGAAATAACGATTTTCAGTGTGCTATCATGGCATTTACACCTCCACGTTGTTTTATAATGTGCGATGAGGTGGGCACAGAACTCGAAGAACGTGTGGATGCTATTAGTGATGACTTAAGGTATGGAAAAAATTTTAATACGGAGAAACTAAAACGGAAATTCTAACGGATTGCAGAGGATAGATGACAGTCAGATGACAGTGCGGCAGGTCTGCTGTCAGTAGATCACTTGGTTTTTGCTCGTGCTTTTTTCCATATGTTATCGCCTTTTCAAATTAGCTTTAAAAGGGTATAAAAATTTTGTTATGGTTTTCGCGATTGGGGTGTAGGTTATCAGCTATGCTTCGCATGGAAATTCGTGTATTATGATTTTGCATGAATCCAGTTTGAGCCTTGTTCGTTTTCAGCATGTGTTAATTCCTTTGCATTTTCAGGGCTTTTTACTCAAAGTCTCTTCATCGAGCAAGTGACAATATTGATGTCCGCCCTGGTGTCGCGTTGGTCGGACTTCGTGGCGACACGTTCTTGCGTATAGTGGTTCTGGAAGCTGACGTAAGTAAGTTCAAAGTTGTGTGTAATACACACTGATTCGCTTTTCAGATTCATATAAGTACAAAAGTACGCTGTTCATGCATGGACCGCAATGCAATCTACTCTTTCGATCGTGATGAGCTTTTTCCACTGCCCGATAAGTTTTCAGCAGAAAAACTGCCTGTGAATATTTTCTTGGCTCGCTTTCGCGGAACTCACTTCGTCTACAAGGTAAGCGTTACAAGAAGACCTTACTAGCTTATCTCTGAGCAAATCCCAGTGCCGTAAATTTTAGATGTGTTTTTTCTGACAAAACTGGTGATTTTCTAGAAATGAAATAGAGTATAATGTTTTTCATAAATACTGATAGTGCTTTTCAGGAGAAGTACGATGAAATAATCGAGGGATTATGTCAGCCAAACAAGGATGAAGGATTAGTGGCATTCGTAACCTGTGCCGTGTATGGTCTAGCACCGGTATGAATACCGTTTTACTTGTTGCATGTATCCTTTGGCAAACATGGTCATCAACATCGTCCAGAATATATTATTTGTATGAATCAAAACCGAGGTCTCTTATAGCTTGCAAAGCGCCATTTGTTCAAACGCATGAGACACTGAGGCAAGCGTAGCTGTTGATCTGATCATATGGGTCAGTTTCATATAGCTAGTAAATCTTAAGTATGTATATACCGCCCTTGCGGTGGATTGGGCGATAAGATCTGCACGTAAACAAAGAGCCGGCTGAAAGCCGGCATACTGCATGCGTAATTTGCCGTTTAATCTCGGCACCGCAAAGGGTGTATGTAAGAGGCGCGATTCTTATTGCCAGATAGGCAGCATCTAGCACATATTTAGTGTTTTATGAAGTTTAGAAGTACTTGAAATTTCGAAAGAATTATATTAGCTAATTGCATGGATTGTACGATCTTATCATCTTGAAATCGATTCCAAACAAAATCGCCAAAGGTCAAAGACCCATGAAGATGCAGTTAATAGCAATTTTGTATTTCGGTCAGTTTTCTAGCAGAAGTCCTCGAACTTATCAGGTGGTTAATTCAAATAGATAGTAAGCCAATGGTCTTCGCCCGGCACTTTTTGAACAATCCCGTAGCACGAAACTAGTGTTTTGAGTTGGTGGCAGCCAGAAAAATCGCGCCTCTTGACCGTCTCCCCACAAAGGAACTACGTCAGATCTAGACGCTTCTGCCGGATGAGGGCGCAAAATTTGGAGGCGCGCACGCGGTTTTCTCAGCAGAGCGGGTGAGCTGCAGGCTTTACTACGGTGAATTTGTGTTTGCGCCATGTTCGCGCCCTCTCAACTTATACTGTTTTTGCGCCTTCGTCCGGCAGTAGTTTGTCCCCAGCCTGTACCTTCCGTCGTTTGTCACTTGCATCGGCAGCCGGCTGTCTTTCTCATTGTAGAGCACAGTCGGCTTGTGAAAACAAATTTCATTAGATTCTCACACAGTAACCGCTCCCTTCCCTACAGTCTAATCCTTTTGTCCATTTCATCCACCTGCTGTTGGTTAAATTAGTGACTTGACCTACAGCAAGTTGATGAAGTGGATCAAGCATAGTGACCACGGCAATTTATAATTTCGGTATATCACGTAAGTCTAAGGCAACGAGCCTATAGCAGAGGAAGGGTTTGGAAAGGCCACGCTGTTGAATTGATAAGACCAGTATTTCTTTCTACCTTAATTTATAGGGAGTTACGTTAGTAAGGGGTCACTGCTTGCACTCTTGCACACTGTGACCACAGTTTTCATACGCCTTTTTTAAATGTCACCTCATAACATTATTTGCGTGCTCACTGGGTGAAGTCTGTGTCAATCACATCGCCATGCCAGAGCTTCGCGCCACGTTCTCGCGCGTATGGCTCAGGCATTTAAAGTGGCCTCCATCTGGAGGTTCGCGCGCGAGACCCTAGGGTTGGGCAAGCGTAGTCCTCACCAAAAGGGAGTTCATAATTGACAGGACTGTAGTTATGGAAGCCAAGATAATGCAGTAATAATCAGTGACAATCTTTCAGGGTTAAATTGATTCAGACAATCGTTAGCTTTTTTGGCAGGGCCCAAATCTCGACATTTAACTGAATTTCTACAAATAGTCTTATTAATCTTGCCACCAGTTAGAATACGGGCGTCATTTGGTAGTAACAAGGCTGGCGGCTGTCCTTATTACCATCTGCTTCAGTCTAACTTGTCTTCTCTTTGAGCGTCTTCTTCCAAATTCCTGTTCAGGATGGTCTTGTCATTATCGATGCGACCATGCCGAATGGTGGTTGGGTGAGCTCCGTTCTGGTCAGATCGGGACTAGTGGCAGCAATGGCTAGAGATCCTAACATCGCATGGTCTTCAGAACAAGCAGAGCAGGCAATCAAATCGAAACACGAGAAGGTATGCAGTTTTGTCTCAGACAGAGAATTTCCCAGCTTGTTTTCTTGTTTTCTATAGGAAATGCTTTCCAACAGCGTCATATGTGAGGAAGTCTCGGATGATCAAAAGAACGAGGGCATGAGTGAAAGCGGTGCAGATATTGCTGAATCTGTAGAGTCCGAATGTGACGTTCCTGTTAAAGAAGCAGTAGTACCTGACGAAATGTCTGAAAATGAGTCGAAATACGATTATTATGACGACAGTGGAAATGCCAAGGTTGGCGAAATTATTGCACCGGATGAGGCACTGATGCTAGCCAAAAAGCAGGAGGAAATGCGCGAAGAGTTCGAAAAAATGAGGGAGGAAGTGCTGAGTGGATCGTCAAATGCGTCAAGCACTTACGAGGTGATACGTTACCTTGTTCACTTCTTTTGCAACTTGAGCTTCTGTGTATCCTTATGATTGTCGTGTAGCTTTTAGGTCCGCCATAAATTTCCTTTGTTTCCTGTGTTGCTCATGTGTCCTGTGTTGCTCGTGTTTCCTGTGTACCGTATCTTTCCCGTGTTGCCTATGTTGCCCCCCAAACCCGCTATCGCTGGAGTGAGCATTTCGATCTTTCCACATGTTAGGAAGGTGAGAACCTTGTTTGGCATCTTGCTTCAGTGCGTTTGAAAGTACGGGCAACAAGAGGAACATGGGCAACACTGGAAACAATGATACGATCAAATCTCTAGTTACTATCATTTTGTAGATCCATCCTAGTACCAGCAGTGTCGGCCACCCAGAGGATGAAGTGAAGGTCAAACGAGAATCCTGCGCCATTGAAGCGGTACCACCGTGTGCAGATTATGCAAGAGAGGAGGTAGAAAGTGAACACTCTCAAGACGAAGAAGTGGAGAGTGAACACTCTCAAGACGAAGAAGTGGATGAACACTCTCAAGATGAAGACCATGATGTTGTTGAAGAAAAGTCTCCAAAACGTATCTCGCCTGCTGCTGAAGAGAGCATCGAAAACATCAAAATTAAAGAGGCTAACGATGAGGAGGAAATCGAGCAGTTGGAGTCGAAGATGCAAGACCTCAGGGTGAGACTTCAGTTCATAAGGTTGAGTTGATTCAGCATCTATATATATTTTGTGTATAGGCTAGTGAAGAGCTCGGCACCGAGGCACAGGAGGCTGGGGGTGAGTGAGATAATATACCTTTATTTTGTCTGTCTCTATCATTTAAATCGTCCCTGAGTTTACTGTGGCTTCTGAACTGGGCGCAGTGAACGTAGTTCGTCTTGACGGGGCTCATTGAAGAAAGTTATAGAAAAGCTTCTGCTGCGGTTTGCCTTGTGTATTCTTCAAGCTGTATTGTTGTAGAAGCACCGGAGGTAGAATATAGCCATCCTGGAAGTCCTCCCCCTTCTTCTGATGGAGAGACTGTGGAAGAAGCGACTAGTGATGAGCTTGGGTTAAAAAAGTAAGTCTTCTGCAGATGATTTATTAAAATTTAACATGCACTTCATTCAGTGCACTGGAAGCTTACTTATCAGTGCGTCAGCTCTCGAAAGAATCGTCGCGATTCAAAGCTGCGATGGATGCCTCAATTCTCTCTGCTATCAATTGCGCTAGTGGTATATTCATTGTAAGTAATTTTGGAATACGATTATATGCCTTGATTTCTGCTTGATGTGAATCATGTAGAATCTTTCTTAAGAGCAAAATGGTGGATGATGGCAACTATGGTGAAGATATGGGCGCCCAGGTCCGTTCTAGATCTGAACTGGAGTTCGTTAAGATGATTCAAATGCTTGGGCAGAAGCCAAAAAACTGATGTTCTTCCGCTCCATCACATGAGCATATAGTTGTATATAGCATACTCTTTTTCTTGTTGTGAATTTACATAGAGTCTCTGAATTTCGAGCGTGAGCTTTTTATCCAACAGAGCTTCAGAACATCTTACGGTAGCTCAGACACCCTCTGGGGGACCATCTAAAGTTCACAATATTTTTGCTCTGGACATCCTGCCACGTCGAGTTTATAATCGTACCTAGTACTCTATTTTGTCTGTTGTATTTTTTTCTTGTTGTTTATATCATTCTTACCTTGAAGATCTTCTAAACATTATCACTATAAGAAGCTACGATAATTATAAGATATATGTTGTTGACTCTTGTTTAGTTGTTAAAATATCCTATTAACTCGCTATTTCTTTTTGCATGTTGTTAATTATCTCAATGTTGTAATAAATGAATTTTTTCTTTGTATTTACATTGAAACTTCACTCTGAGAAGATAAAACTCTATTCTGTTCTACAGAGTCCATGTGAGACAGTTTCACAACCACTTGCTTTTCCACCCATCAGTGAAGTTGTACTAAAAAGAACGGGTAGAGTATGGCTAACTTTGAATTCATTCGGGAATCAGTTTTCGTAAAAGGGCTGTTACTGTATTGGCCATTCGAAGAGTCTACTACCATTTCCTGAGAAAATTGGGGAGCTTGGTCAAGGCATTGGTGGCATATGAGTTGTGCCTAAAAGGGGCATTTTATGTATCTGGTTTATTGAAGAACTGATTGAAAATTAAAGCTTGAATTCATATTAATACAGGCATCTTTGGTGGACCTATTTCTTTAGTCCAAACAGACTCAATAAATTAGTTTTTCATGGTTCTTGCCCATAAAGTAGAAGACCAAGAGAGGCTTACGTGAGTAATATTAATATTGAGTAATATTATATTTTTTCACATAAGTTTCGCAAACATGTCCATAACTTCTTTTTTGTTCATATCTTAGCATTATGTAGACTCTGAAGTGAGCTCTGAATTCGCGCAAATTGTTTGGTTTTTTATGGCAAAATGATAACTCTACGTATTTTCCTGAAAGTGGTCAGAATCGAGATTACGGTTTTTAGCAAAAGGAAGACGTACAGAAAATGAATTGGCCAAATTCCGGCTGATTTTAATAGGCAAAATGCTCTCAAAGCTTCTCTACTAAGCCTAGCGAAAAAAAAATTGAATCGTAATTTAAAAACAGAGAAATCTGGCAATTTCTTGAACTTGAACAAGTCGAATACGTAAAGTCCTCCCCATCAGTGCCACAGAGTTGGAACAGTCGGATTTCGGCAAAATATTGCATGATAGGGTAATTTGACATGCTGAATACGAATATCATATTTAATCGTTGTCAGGATTAGATAGCCTAGTGTATTGGCATGAACTTTTTCCGCAAAATACTCTCACGCAAAATGAATATCGTTTTTGTAATCAGGATGTCGTTTAACCCCCCTAGACCAAGTTTCATCCCATTCCGTGCCAATTCCTACTTCTTTTGCCTTATCGTAACCCGCACGATGAATTTGGCAGAAATGGCTGCATCCGTTGTTCATACGACAGTTATTACAATAAAAAAATGGAAGCGTCACACCAAAAAGACAATAGCTGTAAGAAAAAGTTGCAAAACTTATATGCCAACTTAACAGGTAGCCTTCCCCAGGTTTTCCTGATTTTTTAGAGAAACTTCTCTATTGTTTTGAATTTAGTGATGCGTCAAATAATTATACACAAAGTGATCAATAAACTTATCTATGTCATAGCTACGAATCCTCCCGCGAAATTCCAACTTATTTTGCCGGCAAACATCTCACTTAGCTATCAGAGCTCATAAAATTATCTGTCGGGATACTCTAAAAGCTCGTAAAACAGCGAAAATTTTGTTCAACCCTAGTTTTCATAGCTCAGTTCCCATGTTCTACTCTTTAAGACCATTAACTGGAATGAACTTACGCGTTAACGATAGCGAAGAATGTTTATTTCGATCCACGTCGCAATAAGCCGTGTACCAGAAGTATGAAAAGAACGCGCTAGGATCGTGTACCATGTTTGTCGATAAAGCAACCAACTAATACATTTACCTTATTGATATTTACCTCAGTGACCGCTCTTTTTTCTAAATGTGGAAGACCTCAAAGGCAGTGTCTCACCAGACTGGGGTATCTGGCTCTCATAATAATGTAACAGTAGACCCCTTACCTAAGCCTTGACTGAAGTTTGGAGAGAAAAAGGGGGTCTACCAAGCCTGAAATTTGCTCCGAAAGTGGCCCGAATACGCTAGGCTCGGGCGAGTACGAGATGATGCAGGGTAGAGACGCAGAGTCGTTGCGGGACCCATCGCTTATGACTGTGTGCGTTATTCGCACTCTGGCCTTGCAAATCGATATTGCTGTGTGGGCGGCGTCCGGGCCTACCTAAGATTCGGGCCACTTCGGAGCAAATTTCAGGCTTGGTAGACCCCCTTTTTCGCTCCGAACTTCAGTCATCGCTTACGTAGGGGGTCTACTTCAACATCGCCATAAAAAAAACCCGGCACCCATCTTTTTGCCGAGACGCTGCCTTCAAGATTAGGGCATTGCTGTACCAAAAAAGTCTTCGAACTTGCCTCCCCAAGCGGCGACGCATCACAGCATCTAGTAAAATATGAAGACAGTGAAATACTAGCAAAGCATTTGCAATCTCATATGAAGATGCAAAAACAGGAGAGTTTAAAAGTGTAGGACTTTATCTGACTTCGCTTTACAAGGCGATGAAGATGCATGAAAAATGGGCTAGCAAAAACTTGAGACTAAACTTGGTATAGGAGTTATCCTTATTTAATTACAGGAACAACAAGGAGTAGAAGAAGAGCGAATTCCTTTAGAAAGAGTTTCTTGGGGAGATCCTGACGCATAGTACGCATTCTTAATTTCATTTGCGTAGATTACCTATAAATATGCAGGGGGGGGGGTGAGAATGTGAGGGGGATTTTCTAATTTATTTGTTTCAGCTTTACCATCTACATAGATATATTCAACATAAAAACTGACTTCATCATCAGTTTTGCACAGATTCCACCTCTAACATGTCGCCTATAACAAAATTCTACCGAAATCACAAAGTTTGAACAAAATTCTAGAGAAAGTGTATAAGAAATTCCTGAATCCTTTAGTGCAAAAAAAACATAAAATGAGGTCTTAGCTGCAGAAGTTCTGCTTAATTTTGACCCATTGACGACGATGTGGACCACCGGTGGCCCGCGCACTTTTTGCGGCCAGGGTCGATGTAGACCACCGGTGGCTTACACCTGTTGCAAAGTCATATCGTTTGTAGGTCTTGTATTTCTTCTTAGAATGACATTTGCTTCCAGTTTTTTACTCTTTTGGGACCTATAGGCTCCGTAGTTCAAAAGAATGTTTATAGTTGCAAAATAACCTCGCATTCCATAAATAACCACAAAACCTTCACACGCCGGAAGTGTTGTGCAAAATCGCGTCGTCCCACAGCGCCGCCACGCAAAATTAGGCGTCGTTGTCTCCTGTGCCAGAGCTTTAGCGTATTTTAGGTAAATGGCTGCCAGGTAGTTAGCTGGGTAAATCCCCTTCCTCTATATTTCCCGCATATGAGCTTGACAAAAATTGTCAAAGGTATGATATGGCTGTTCGACATATCGCTGCAAAATGATCCGTGTAATTCGAATTGTACGTCTTCACAAGAGGGTTGACCTAAACTACTGGGGCGTAAAATCAGATAATTCAAAATAGAAATATGGAATTTTGGACATTGCCACATAAAATGTCCTTACAAGGAAAGCACTCTTTCTTTTTTCAACATTTTTGACAATAGGTAATACTTCAGGTCTTTCGTCTTCAAGTTTATGCTAGGTTGTTTGGAAAATTCAAACGCGACATATCCGCACTTCTGACATATTTTTGTTACCTATTCTAGCCATGGAAGAACTACATAAACTGTATACGTAAATGTCTGTTGTTAGGTGTCAGTGCAAATTTGAGATTTCTGAGAATTTTATAAACGAGGATACAATTTTTGTTACTCAAAATTTATGATGTTTTGGCTTCCAACACCAGGCGGGACAAAATTTTCGCGAATGCTTGTACTCCATCTTAGATCTTGCTTTGCTCTATTCCCTCCCGGGGTGTAAAGTTTCATGTTATGAGCATACCTAAATTTTTCAAGGGTGCACATCTCGCTAGCAGTGCCAGACACGCCTTTTTTTTGTAAATATTGTTCATATCACCCCTCTCCTCCCGCTCCAGAACTCGTCCATTGCTTCTAACGTTTTCGGATGTGGAACTTCTCCTATAAACGGCTTGGGCCAGAACTGGGCACTAAATCTGAATCGCTTTTTTATGCTTCAACACTTGAAACTTTTAGCCTCTCCTCTTTCATGTCATGGAATCTTGCACTTCCTAGTATTTCAAAATAACAGATGTAACCGTCTCTTTTCCTCAGATTCCTGGATATCTCAAAAACTTATAGCTACAATCCGCTTCCCCTCCTCCGCCCTTTCCGGGTTATGAACTACTAGTATTCCGCTCAGTTATACAAGACTATACAATCAAGTGGTTTTTTTGCATTCTAAGCTGTTAATGCATCTTCACCAACTTGTTTTTTGCATCCACGAACAAGTTGTCCCAAATATTTGCTGCGTGAAAAATTCCGCGCAATTTCACCTGTACAACTTACGATCTATAGTAAGGTCCTGGCTTTTTTCGACAAAAGTCACCATCATTTGCACCACAAAATTTCTCTCCCGTGATACCATTTTTCTTCTTGGACATTATGATGGGGAGCAAATCTATATTCAAAAAGTTACCGCTTCATGACTGTCAAATTTTCAAAAGCTCTTCTCGCACTTTCCGGACCCCATAATTTATCTTTTTTTTTACTGCTGATTTGTCAAAACTTTCTTGCGAAAGGAATCTCGCTTTGGTGCGTATCTGCGCGCTACCGCGTTCAATGCACTATATCAGTTCATGTAATAAATCATGTCAATTTGACCCAATTTAGTGAAATGACGCGATTATTCTCGAAATCGATAAGAGATAGAGATTCTTTCACAATCACATTATGCTTTCATTCGAGCGATTTTCTTGTGACTTATAAAACTCGCTTTCCCATATGAAAATTTTTTTGGTAGCGCAAAATTTCATAACGTCATGTTTGATAAAAAAGAGCTTGAGGTATTGCAAGTGTAGCTCAAAAACTTTTCTTGTTTCATGGGTCTGGTTGAGTGCAATATCTGGGGTGCACAAGCTGTAAAATTATCTTTCCTCTCTAGGCTCTTCTTTCACGTTTAATGGCAATTCTGAAATTTTTAGTGGGGCGAAAATTTTTCTTGAGAGGCTACAAACATCATCTTGAACTTTTATCGAGCTCAATACCCTACGAATTTTCATTTTTGACGCTAAAATTTTGGAGATAAGTTCGAGTTCT